TAAGAGTTTGCAAGAAGGAAGGATACATGTTATATATGTAGCCAACTAATGTACTGGCAAGGAGTGCATGGATGTATGCCAGGTTAGCAATGAAGAATTAAAAACATCTGGGTATAGAAAAATCTTGTTAGAGCAACCAAGCAATATTATTTTTTATTAGGCTTAAATTCATGATCCATACTTACGTATTTGCCTGTCCATGCCAGCAGTAGCAACAACCTCTCCTTCAGGATGGAATTTACCACACAAAATGTCTCCCTGGTGGCCAGAAAGCTGCATGATGGGAGACATAAGTCCACTAGTTCTTGGAGGTCCCTGTGACAAACACAAGTAAAAGATGAATACTAGTGATCACTATGATATCACTTGCATTCTAATAAACCTACCAAGCTATTTTTTGCCAGATAAAAAGATATAAGAAAAAACTTCATTGATGTTGACCAAGGGAAGCTCTAAGTTTCAAATAAATAATAAGATTCAACTTAATATGTTCAGCATTGAACAATGCAAAATGTACGAAAAATTGCTTGTCAAAACCACAAAGTACACAACACAGAGAAGAATATTGTTCCATAGCATGAAACAAAGGGTGATGGACTGATTACATCCTCTTCAAAACTCTTCTATCAACTTTTCTGTACTCAACTGAAGAAGCCTACTGTGTAGGCGAATTATTATTATTATAATCAAGGGGGAAGCGCTAAACCCGGAGGATTATACAGCGCCGGGGGGGGGGATGTGGAAGGCATTCAGGCTTAATTCGGGGAACTGGAGCACAGATCCAATTCCCTAAATCAAGAGCCCCTCACCAACATCAAGGAACCTTCCTTGAGGGTGTGTAGGCGAAACGTTTCGAAATAAAGATACCTAACTGTTGCATATGTGTCTTATCTAACAACCTGTCGGTATTTTATACCAATTTAATATTCAACCTTATATAGACGTCGTTGACATTAATGCGTTAAAAACTGCTTAAGAAATCCCAATTAACACAAGATCACTGAATCATTGTAAAGTATTAATATACACTTAAATCTGCACTTTTTTGCTACCTCTTTTTTGCAATAATGCATACTTATTATTATGCCACACAATACCCATTAATATTATAATAAAAAATACCCTGTCTTGGGTAGTCTGTAAGCATTAGGATTAGTCTGCCCGAAATGCACATGCATGCTAGTGGCTTTCTTTTGTGCTTAACAATGTTTTATTACATCTAAACTACATTTTTATATTGCACAAAGAAATATATTTTTTTGCTTGTACTGACTTACACTTTGAACGAGACTCCCTTTATCTCCGGAGTGTATGACCATTTCATGTCTAGGTTTCTTGGCCTGGACAGCCACGGTTAAGTATTCTGCTTTCCGCTTTCCGTCCATCCTATACACGTTTTTCTTTTCCTTCTTAGAGTTTGTGTCCACTGACAGTTAAACGTTTTCTTGATAGTAATTCTTGGTGGTGTTGGTGTCATTCAAGGCAACCAAAGCTGACGCTTTAATGAGTCCTACCTCCCAGGAGTCCGTGAAAAAAAAAAATATTGCCCAAATCTGTATGGGAATGAAAATGTTAACAAAGTTTCCTTTCTGAGGAAAAAGAAGTGGAAATATGAAATTTCTAACTTATATAAAGTGGACCACAGGTCTAAACACCTGCAGAGCCAAGCGCCTTACTCCCTGAACAAACACATCTTCACTCCGCCAACACCGGTGAAGTTTGTACACCGAATTCTTCTTGTTGGGTATATCAGGGCCACTAACAGCTTATGCAGGATCGATCCTGACTTCCTGATATACGGTGATGGTACCCAGCCCAAAGCCGGGTGATGAAAGAAAAAAGAATAAGAGTTCCTTTATAAATAAAAATAGAAACTAGAAGTTCCCAATTATATCAGGTGGACCCCCTTGCCTAGCCCCCAGCAGAGTGGGACGCCCACACCACCACCTAAGTTCACCAACCGGCTCCCCACCAAAACCGTTGAAGAATTATCCTCAGAACGGAAAAAAATGGAGTTGGCTAAAATTAAGCCGATGAGAGATGTCCCTCCTGTAACGTGCCCAGCCGGCAAAGGAGATTAAAACAAGCATCCCAGAGAGCGGGGGAAATTTGTCCACACTCGACGAAGGCTGGCGCAGAAGTCGTACGCCGCATTTTCTTCTTTTAAAGAATAAAAAAAAAGCACAATACCGTGACCGCGACAACACACACAAACTTGTACATAGGAGAAAGAAGCTTATGACAGTGATTAGGTCCATTTTGAACCATTTAACAAATCACAACAGAAGAGCGACGGCAAGGGAGCCAGTGGGGTTATCGAGGCCAGTAGACCTTCTGCAGCGTTCCTCCATTCTTATGTTCAATATGTCTCCACCAAACTTGCCCTTGCCGCCGCTGTAAAGACCTGCCTACAGGTTAAATTTACAGCCATACTCTCATTGAAAGACTCCTTCATTATCGTCTGTAATGACAATCTTGAAACCTCCAAACTTAATGACGACACCGATATGAGGACTCTTAGTGACAGCTCACCGTCTCTCCTTCACCTTCCTTGCTGGCGAAACGTTCTGTTTTTATCAAACGTCTGGAGTTTGAAGTAATCAGTACCTCAGCCTTGAGTCGATGTCTAACCTTTGGGCATCACCTACTTCCACATTGGACAAATGTGATACCACCTACAACTGCTGCACCTCTCCTACCTATGGTATATAAGCTACGTCTTCAACTTACACACTTCGATCATGTCTCCCCTCATTAGTTGGTAGGTAAGACACATAGGCAACAGTTAGGCAACTTTATTCCGAAACGTTTCGCCTACACAGTAGGCTTCTTCAATCGAGTACAGAAAGTAGGCAGGAACAGTAGAGATGTGAAGACGATGTAATCAGTCCCTCACACTTGAAATCGTAGACTTGAGGTTGTCAGTCCCTCAGCCTGGAGAAGTTCAGTTCCATAGTCTTCCTCATATACATCAATGATCTTCCAAACGTATCCCAGCACCTGAAACCCATTCTCTTTGCTGACGACACGACTTATGTCATCTGTCACCCTAATCTTGCCACCCTCAACACCATTGTTAACGAGGAGCTGATCAAAATATCGACTTGGATGACAGCCAATAAACTTACGCTTAACACTGACAAAACCTACTATATTATGTTTGGTAGCAGAGCAGGAGATGCACAAATTAACATTAAGATCGACAACACTCTAATTACCAGACATAATGAGGGCAAATTCCTAGGCCTATACCTTGACAACAACCTGAATTTCAGCACCCATATCCAACACATAACCAAAAAAGTATCCAAAACGGTTGGGATCCTCTCCAAGATACGATACTACGTGCCGCAAAATGCCCTTCTCACACTATACCACTCACTTATTTATCCATACCTCACCTATGCTATTTGTGCTTGGGGATCAACTGCAGCAACACACCTAAAGCCAATAATAACCCAACAAAAAGCTGCAGTAAGAATAATCACTAAATCCCATCCCTGGCAACACCCCCCCCCCACTCTTCATAGATCTAAACTTACTCCCTGTTCAGAACATCCACACTTACTACTGTGCAATCTACATCTACAGGACCTTAAACTCCAATATCAACCTTGACCTAAAACGCTTTCTTGATAGTTGTGACAGAACCCACAGGCATAACACCAGACACAAACATCTCTATGACATTCCCCGTGTCCGACTAAACCTTTACAAAAATTCAATGTATGTCAAAGGCCCTAAAATCTGGAACACCCTACCTGAGAACTCTAGAACTGCAGACACATTCATCACCTTCAAAACTACCATTAGAAAACATCTTATCTCCCTGATACACCCCATCAACTAACTACACGAATACCACCTGGTGGTTCACACTTACACTCACTCACCCATTTGACCATAAACAGAAATATTAATCTCAATCTTAAAATAATGAATCCTGTGATACTCCAATACTGAAACTATGTACTGTGCCAAAACAAAAGCATTCACATTGCTAAACTCACAAACTAGTATTTAGTCACTTAGCCATAATACCAACTTACCTCATAATTTGTAATATTTTAAAATAAAGAATTAAACTAAGTCTGCCCGAAATGCCTAGCCATGCTAGGCGTTCTAGTGGTACACTCTGTAATCATTATTTAACTACATGTAAACCACACAACAATCAAATTCTGTAAATTCAACATTGTAATCTTTATAGAGAATAAACTTTGAATCTTACTTCTGTATACCTGAAAGAATCCTTTTGGGTTAGTCTTCGAATCTCTTGCAACTTTAACCTCATAATCTCTTTTTGCTTTTCTAATTCCTTTTTTTATTTCTCTCTTTAACTGAATATATCGATTTCTTAATTGCCCCTCTCCTCTTTTGATTTGCCTATATATGCCTCTCTTTTGACCAATTAGATATTTTAATCTATTGTTCATCCATTTAGGATCATTTTTGTTTCATCTGATTTGGAACATAATTTGACTGAGCAGCTAGAACTATGCCCTGGAAAGCGTCATATCAGCAACCATCACCACCTACCTGACCCTTAGTTAGGTCATTCCAGTTCAGCCCACCTAAGTAATTTTTCAGTCCTATGAAATCAGCCAAGCGGAAGTCAGGGACAGAGACTTGATTGCCATTATTAGGGGAATTCCATGATATATTAAAACTGAGTGATTTGTGATCACTTTCCCCAAGCTCATCATTAACCTCAAGATTATTAATTAGTGTTTCCTTACTGGCAAGAACCAAGTCAAGGAGGTTATTTCCCCTAGTTGGCTCTGTCACAAACTGTTTTAAAAAACAATCCTGGATCGTATCAAGAAAGTCACCTGACTCTAAATTTCCTGTCAAATTGCTCCAGTCAATCTGTCTATAGTTGAAATCTCCCATTAGCACAACATTTTCGTATGTAGATGCCTTACGAATTGCGTCCCATAGAAGTTTACTGCACTCCCTATCAAGATTTGGGGCCCTTTAAATCACACCCAAAATTAGTTTTTCTCGGCCCTCGAGAAGCTGTAACCAAACAGATTCAGTGGCTGACGCTTCTAATTTAATGTCTTGTCTAACACAACAATTTAAATTGTCTCTGACATACATCGCTACTCCACCACCTTTCTTGTTGACCCTGTCAGTGTGGAATAATTTATAGCCTTGTATGTGACATTCAGAGGGCATCTCTCTATCTTTCAGATTGAGCCAGGTCTCTGTTATAGCAATAATATCTATGTTTCTTGTACTTGCAATTAATCTTAGCTCATCTATCTTATTTCTTACACTCCTGCTATTAGTATAGTAAACCTTAAGGGAGCTAGTCCCTTGCTGCCCTCTGCTGTCCCCCTCTGTTTGCTGACCTGATCTATTGTTTTTATTTATAACTTCATGCTGAATGCCTTTTATACATTTACTGTTTCCAACCCTAGTGTTGCAACCTGCTTGTTTCCCACACACACCCATACCTCTATCTTCCATCAGTTTAAAATCATAGGCATTTCACCAATGGCCTTCTCAATCGAGTCTGCAAGTGCTACCACCCCAGCCCCAGAGAGATGTACCCCATCCCTTGCATACATATCATGTTTGCCATAAAAGTTGTTCCAGTTGTCAATGAATGGGATTGCAAGTTCCTTGCAGTATCTGTCTAGCCAGCAATTTACATCAATTGCCCTAGACAACCATTCATTTCCTACTCCCCTGTAGCTTGAAGGATTTTTGTTGTGCCAGACTGAATTTTGGCAAGAGCTGCATATGATGGTGATTTGTAGTTGTTTTTCTTGGTTTCAGCGATAATTTTCTTGGACAGGACTTCTTTACGAAGAGGGCACTTGGCTGCAAGGGTGTGGTGAGAACCTTTGCAGTTGAGGCAGGTAGGGGGAGGTTTTTGGTGGGGGGAAATTCCTTGTGTTATGCCTGTTTTTACAACATTTTTGTGCAATTTTTTTCCCCTTTTTCATGGGACAGTCGGGTGTTGGGTGGGGGTTGGAGTAGCAAGCCCAGCATGGCGAGTGTGGGTGAAACTTTCCCGGGGTTCTACGGGGGCTGGGGTGGTATGTTTGTATGAGTTTTCCAGACCATTGAAGTGCTTTTGTGGCCATGTCGATGTTTGTGAAGGCTTCTTGATCTTGGTTGAGGCGTTTGGGATTCGGGTGATTTTGTTCAATCGTTGCCCAGGTTTTTTGTTCTTCTTTGGGGTTTTTTGAGATCTTAAATTCGATAGAGAAGTGATAAATTTTGTCCACCCTTTTTTAACAAAACCAAACATTTCGCCAGCGGGGAAGGTAAAAGGGGTGAGGGGTTTAAAATTTGTCGGTAAATGAGGGGGTTTTGGTAGAGGTGCCCGGCCTTTATTTTGGGAGGTTTCAAAATGCCCTGTACGGGAGGGAAGATAAATGAGTCATTTGTGGGAGAGTATCGTTTGTAAATTTGACCTGAAAGGCGGGCCCTTACGCAACGGGCAAGGGCAAGTTTGGGTAGATTGTTTATTACCCCACTTTTGGGTTAAATTTCCTTACACGATTAGCTGACATCGTGGAGAAAACGACAAATGATACGATGGTTATAGGTTCCCCCCCCCCGAGGGGGATGAAGGAATACTTCTTGAGGAGGGGACTGTTTTCTTCCCAGTAGCAAGGTTAGCAGTGAAAATTTTGTAAAAGCAGGGGCGGGGTATGTGTATAATGTTCCCCAAGACCGTAGTCCTGGCAGGGGTTTTCCCCAATCTTGCGTTTGACC